TCCATCCCCATCCCAAGCAGTAGACATACACTACACATGGATGCCGACTGAAAGAATTCAAAACTGCTTTAATACAGTATGTAAAGTATCTACGAGTATTTACATGTGCTATAGTTTGGATGACATCATTCTGGATTGGATACAGATTCAAAATCACAGCTATATAGAATATTTATAACCTAGCGAGTTGTTGCTCTATGATCATAACCTCTCGTGCTAGGGCTAGAAAGCCACCTTCTACAAGTCTATCATTCAGATCCCTATGATTTTCAGGTGTCGTCTTTATCCTGGAGAATAATGCTCTCGACGAACCTTTCATTTTCTTTGTCCAGTCTGCCAACCAGTCATAGATCTGCTTGGAGATCACATCGATCGGTGTACTCGTATGCCAGTGTTCCTTTCCCTTACTCAGCTGGAGTAGCTTCCCAAGGTTTTCCAGTCGACCTTGATTCAATCTCTGAACTTCGTTCTGAATGAACTCGAGACTTGACTGTTCGTTGATATACTTGCCTGTCAAAAAGAAACCAATGTCATTATCATCACATTTTGATAGATGCAAATATGAAGGAAAGCATGCAAGGAGGAATTATTTTCAAATTCAAAGATAATACCACTGAGAGCCAGAAGGGCGTTTCATTCATTTCCAAAGTTAACGCCCTTTTGCTCCTCAACATGACATCTTTAATATATATCATTGTACACTTTCTCTATAAATTATATAAAAGTAGTTTGAATTTTGACTGACCTGCAATGACTTCATCTGCGAGAACAGGCATCATTATCCGTAGCTTATGAGCTAGAGCTGCACGATAGTTGAAAACAGATTGGCGTGGCTTCTCTTTCCATAGCTTCAACAGCGTGTATGTGGTCATTTGGTCTGATGGTTCAAGATCGAGACCATTAGCTATGTCGTCATCTGTTAGTTGTAGAACGCCTAGAAGATTAATCAATTCTTTGGGTAGCTCCATCTGTGATTCTTTATCCTTCGGCTCTCCAAGCTGTTCTGGTACACTCTCGGCCTTCTCAATACCAGGCTCTTCTCTGTCTTCACCTTGACACAACGGTGGTGGGGCGCCAACAGAACGTGCTTCCTCACGTGGGCCGATCTTTGAAGCAGCTGCAGCTTCATCACACTGTGATGTTCCCCCTTGTATATCTATAGGGATATATTTGCATCGAAATCTCATTCTGTAATATATTGGCTATTTCAACGACACGTTCTAAATTCAAATGATTTTGATCAATCTTTAATTTACATGATTTCAGTTGAAAAAATTTGTGTTAGCGAACAGAATCGAACACATTTACCAGGTAAAAATACAACGAAACTGACCCAAAAATGAATATCAATTGTGAATCATACCAACTCTAATGTATATTTGAAACATCATTTTCTCCAGCAAACAACTTCTTACCTTTGACGGCATTCTTTTCTCTGGTGTTTTGCGCCATTGCTTCTGCGATACGAAATAGTTCCCCATAGCTCATCTCGTACACTTGAACATTAAAACAGATTAATGTAAATATATTTAACTGAATATATCATGTATTTTTCTTCATGGAATGCAATTTCAATAAAAATTAATCTTGCATTTCATATCAACTCATACTGATCAAGGCTACGACAGAAATTAGTTCACTAATTGTAATTCAAGGCAATGTATGCACTTTTTTCGCATTTCTCTTTTCCTACGACAATGCATGACGTATAATAACACGTCAGCCGCTGACACAGTCCTACGTCAAGAAAGACTGGTGTGCAACGAGTATTACAGGTGTACGATGACCAACTCATATTAAACATTTCACTACAGCAATTAAAATGCAAGGAATTGAAATATAGATTAAAAGTGTTACGATGCTTTATAGCAATCAACTGTGGGTTTTAATACCTAGATATAAACAAATATCGCCACTTTACATGTATATGTCATTTATACCAAAAAACTTAGCTGATACAGTCTCACAATTCAGATGATGGAATAAGTTATTATCTTACCACACATTCCAAGAATAGCGACGTTGCGATATTGGAGTTTATTCATTTCAGTGCAGAATAGAACTCGCGTATCCCTCTTTTCATCACCACTGAACACGTCGACCTTGATTTTTGTCAGAAGCTTTGAAAGTAAGCCGATTGTACCAATGTCAAGGTGTGATGGTTCGAATGCTGGCCTATATGGAATCAGGTTGGTGAATTGGATACACAGTGCTTCAGTGATAGGTAGAAGATCTTGCATGATCATCTGCAAAGCCATATCCACGAGCTCGGCTTTGTATATAAACTGTCCCTTTAAAGAAGGCAGCAACCCTGGGAATTAGAAGAAAATCTAATCATTCAAATGGTCAAAGATCATGTTGATACAAAATTCACTGATATGGAAAAATCTAGTTTCGACCTAGTGCGTATTCGTAGCATCGGATTAACGAAAATATATTATTGTTTTACACGTCTCTACTTCATAGATTAAAATTTGTACTTCATTCTTAATTTATTAATACATTTTGTAGAAGAAATGGAATGACGAAAATAATAATCATCCCGTAATGTCTGAATAAGCCCGTCATCCATACGAGAATGACGTCATTCAGAAGGTATTTCCACATTAGAAAAAAATCCAAAACACTTTTTTTTAAAATTGATGTTGTACATATTACAAGGTAAGAACCTAATAATGCATTGGGAAGTGATCTACCTTTGAAGTTGGTAGATCCCAAGGCTGCAGAAAGTTGTTCGTGTTTTTCCTTTAGATTTAATTTCTCTGCCACCTTGTTTCTCCATTCCCGTAGACTGTCAAACCGTTTCCCTTCGTCAAAAGCATCATCAGATTTGCATCTAATCTTTAGTTTCTTGCATATACTCTCCATTGTTTTTTGCGTGAGATGACGTGAGATCGATTCGAGTTCATCGTTCGACGGCCAGGCGTGATCTAAAGGGACGAACCATTGTTATACAAATTTTCAAAATAAAACCAAAATTTAATCAATGATAATATTGAATCAAGCCATTAATTGGCTTCATTTGAAAACATAATGTGTTTTGCCTTTATTTTTACTCATAATGTATTTTCAGTTTGAAGATGTTTTTATGACGTTTTAGGACGTTTTTAGAAATACATGCCAAGTGAACTTAATGTATGATATTTTTACCAATGTTTGTGGTCCTCTAAATAGTCCTGGTCGGCAACAAAATTTAATAAGAATTATTAATATAGACCCATGCCAGCAATAACAACCACAAATATTTAAAAATACATATAAAACATATTCTTCGGTATCCTCGTAAAATGGGTGGATTTTTCAAGAAAATATCTTTAGATATTTCTATTTTTGTAAAGAGGGGAATCAGTTCTTAAACCAGATGAAAAGCATCATGATTGAATTTAGATATTCCACGAAAAATAAGAAAAAGACTCATGTACTTTTGAAAGTTCATTGACGAGCGTTATAGTTAATAACTTGAAATTAATATCATATCTAAATCAATTTATAAAATGTAAATGATAATGAAGAAGAAATCGCCTTAGCCTACACCCCCCCCCCTCCCCTCCGTCGCCGCATGCATTAGGGCCGAGAAAGTGATTTACTTGCTGCAATATTCATATTCTGGTTTGCGCAAATGTCCCCCTCCCCCTTCTCCCTCTCAAGTCAAGTTTCAAAATATGCCACCGTTGAGGAGTCATTAAACTTTGTACGCTTAGGCGCGTTTTCATTATCTCGAGAGTTCTTTTATCGGGGCAGGTGGTATTTGATAACGTTCTTAAGCCCCGCCATTTTGTATAGGCTATATTATCCCTCTTTATTTGTTTTGTTTTGTTACCTGACTCATTTGATACAAAGAAGGCATCTTGAACCATCCTTCTGTATTGACTCATTCTAGATGTCGGTCTCTGCTGCCAATCAGCGAGCATTTGGTGAGTATCGAAGAGAGCCGTCTTGTTTTCACGGATAATTTCCTCAGCCTGAACTGGTTTAGTTTCAATCGCATCATAAATCCTCCTGTAGTGCTTCATCAATACCTGGTCCACACGCTGTTCAAGTGCTTGCATTTTCTCTACAGTTAGGTTCTTTACATCGACATCTGAAAGCCGCAAAGAAAAATTAAATGGAAATCACTGTCCCAAATGTCTACGATTCACATTATTTTTTCATCATCGTTTATATAAATACTAACTTAAAGGTATTACAAAGTTTTGGTATGGGGTCATGAATTTGGTTCAAATGAACATATTGGAAGCGATTTTACAATATTCAATGATCGTTCACACTAAAAAATAATGATACAAATTTGCACCCTATAGGGTGCAAACCGCTGCTACAATAGCGGCCACCTATAGGGTGCAATTTTGCACCCCAATTGGGGGTGCAAAATTGCACCCTTATTTGGGGTGCAGACTTGCACCCTATAGGTGGCTGCTATTGTAGCAGCGGTCTGCACCCCTAAGGGTGCTCGTTTGCACCCCAGTTTGGGGTGCAGACTTGTCCCATATAGGGTGCAGGGGTTTGGGGTCCACAATTGTTCCCTGAAGGGTGCATACATACACCCCTTGGGATGCAAGCAAGCACCTTTAGGGATGCAGATTTACAGCCTTTATGGTGTAGAATTGCACATTGCAGGGTGCAGATGCACTCTTTACATCACATTATAACCAATAAAATCATAAGATCAAACAATTTGTTTTCATATTGAAATCACATTTTATTGACAACATGAATGACCGGTTTCAGTTTACACTATGCATAGTGGGTAAGAGAAAATAACCACTTATGACACTGTTGCCATATATATGCGGTTTATCTTCTGCAATATCTAGACAAAAGTAACAAATAATATAAAGAAGTGATACAATGTGCGTGTAATATACCATGTTGGGCTGTTGGCAAACATCAACATTCTAATTTGAGGTACAAAAAAGGTGAAATCTACAATTACACCTTTGAATACAGTATGCTTTTCTTGCATGAAGTAAAGGCAAGAGAACAAACTTTAACAGCTTTAGTCAGGGAATCAACACCAATTTATTCTTATAAATGAAGATGACTACTGAAAATGTTATCTTCATTTATTCCATCAATTCCACCAAATAATTTGGGGACAGCAAATATATTGTACAAAAACTAAATTAATAATACTCTACAGGACATACAAGAATACTAGAATGCAAATCGATTGGAACTTATAGTAGTAAAAGAACAGTAATCACTTCTGGGCCCCGTTGCAGAAAATCTGATTTCGCTTGGAGAAGAAAACCTCTCTCTGTCACTATTTACAACAGAAATATAAGATGAGAAATGTAACTATTCTCATGATCAAGATATCTCTTTGAGCTGCATATCATATGTAGTTAGCTGCTTTATTATTGCATAAGGATACAAAAATCCTATTTTTTGTCTTGATAAAAATATAAGCACACACAAAACATACAATACTTTGGTAAATAGCACACTTCAATTATTTAAACAAAAATGTATTCCTATAGCCCAAGAAAATACACCTGTAAATGTGTATAGAAAAACAGTAAATGTGTAATACTTTGGAACCCCACATACATACATGTAGTTAGTCAATTTCACATGTCCATGTTTTATTTATTTCATAAATGTTCAGCCCTGATACAAGATATAAAGAGGTACAGTCAATATATGAAATTCTAATAAATGTATCAAGTTAAGCTAGCCTCAAGACAGAAATAATCACTAACCAGTTCATACCCGTGCATTTGACTAGCACAATTACTGTATTCCTGCACAGCCTATGTTTGCTTCTCTTTATTAATATAGACATAGGGCTCCTTGGCTCCAATCAAATAGTTCAACAAATCACCAGAAACATTATGTCCCTTTCATCAGACGAATAAAAGGAAAGGACATATTACTCGTGACTTTTTGGATTCAAATCCAGTGTACAATCTGACAGTTTTATCAGTTCTCGTGACAACAGTAGTCATATCAAAATCACCTTTCTTGCCATGCTGTTTCTTTGTAGCTTTCAGCTTTGCCTGTAAATGACTATTCCTCTGTTGTAGATCTTCAATTTGTTTTTGCTTTGCAACACATCCAAGGCAGGTACATAATATTTTATCACAATGTAGCCCATATGATCAGTGAGATGTGCACCAACAATATGATCAGATCTTTTCTCCTTATTACTTGAAGCTGTCTCATCAATTTCTTGGTGCTCATCAAGAGTAGAGGATCCATGAAAGTCAGGATCTCCTGTCAAGTCGACATCCTTTCTCTTCCGTTTACATGTTGATTTCCTCTTTTCTTTACTTGAAGCTGTCTCACTAACTTCTAGGTGCTCCTCAGCTGTAGAGGTTTCATGTGAGTCAGGATCTCCTGTCAAGTCGACATTCTTTCTCTTCCGTTTACTTGTTGATTTCTTCTTTTCTGGGCACTGAGGTCTTTCTCTTGGAGGCAGACGAGGAGATTTATGTGAAGACTGGTGTGCTGAGCTGTATCCCAGATTCATTGTTGGGTCTGGCCACGCTGCACTAGGTTGTCCATCTCGAAAGTGATATGAGCAAACCCTATCTCCATACGTTGGTTCCCAGTTTTTGCCATTTGGACGTTTTCGATTTATCGCCTTTATCCATCGTCGACGGCCGTCTGCATCTTTATTTTGCAAAGGAAAAGGGAATGGTACAAAAGGTGGTGTGCATACGCAGGCCCCATATTTCAGGCCATGTCTGTCACACAATTGTAAATACCATTTATCAAGCTTGAATGTACTGTTCGAGCACCCAATAACAGCACAGATTCTCCCCATGATGATAGTCTGATTGTAAAAAGAGAGAAAAATATTTCATGTTAACACAAATTATAATGGTTTCTATTTGGGCAGGAAAATATTTCTTCTTTCTTGGGAGAAAAAAAAAGAAGCTGATAGTCTGAATCCCCCCCCCCAAGAAAGGAAGAACATTAAATTATTGCCTTAATTAAGGTTAAAATCTCAATGATCATACAAATTTACCAAATAAATCTGCCTTGTTCCCTATAACACATGCTAGCTGTAATGGAATAAACAGCCCATTGGCATTGCCAAGAGGACATCAGCACTGCTTATGATGTCACTGGGCATGCAGGACAATGAAGGTGAATTTACAGCTGGCACAGTGGCAGCCTTCATTGTCATTGATTGAAAGAATTTTAACAGGAAGTGAAGTGAAACTATTTATTTTAGTCAATGGATAGGCATAACTAGAAGTCCAGTCCTTGTTATACGGTTTGTATACATTTTTTAAATTCAAATCGGTCTCAGTGTCTTTTGTTTCGATTACATAGACTAGAGATCTAGATCTAGTCTGAATTTAGTCACTCTTTTTCTTCACTTCAGTTCAATCAACATGATCAGGCAAAATAACAAACAAAATATGCGTAAGCAGGTAAGTTTAGATCATGTAGGCCATAATTATTTTAAGTGATATACAGGCTGAACTAGCAGGGAAGAGCCTTCATATGAGTTATTCTTAACACCGGTTATTAAATTTTAAAGTCAGAATCACGACCTTTTTTAACGATTGTCATTCGAAGCAGACGGCTTACACAAAATATACTGTATGGGGCAACAGTCGGGACACGGCATACTTTCGCCTCTGTGGAGGCAACTGCCGATTGCAAAGAAGAAAAATACTAAATCATTTGCTGACCACGTAAAAAACAAAAGAAAAAGAAGGAAAATATATCCAGTTACCTGCTCAAGATGATTTGTGGAAAAGGAATGATGTCATGATGTAAACAAATCGTATCTAGAACGTGATAAATGCTATCATTCCTCATTCACTGTTGTGTGTAAGCACAGCACCAACCAATATTTGTCCCAATTGATCCAGCGGAAAGGTCACGGAGGATTTTTCGCGCATGCGCATAATCTAACTACGAACTCGCTTATTAAAATCGGCAGTCGAACGGAATTAAAAGTCTCTGCAAAAGATCGACTGACTTAAACTTGTTTCATAAAACTTATAGTCCATGATTTTTCATGGAATAATAATAACGATGCATAAAAAGGGTATAATTGTTTATTGTTGTGTTATGTTGTTCTTGAAATATATACACAGACTTGAGAACAGATCAATCTTCAAACTACAGTATAATTTCATAATGCTTTGATAAAGACTAGTGGGGTGCACATTCTGCACCCTCCAAATTCTTGCACCCCTCAGGGTGCACATTTTACGTTGAATGCACTGAGTGCGCCCTATATGGAGCAGATTAGTACCCTCGGCCAACTACGCGTAATCTGCACCCCAAATGTACCCCTATTTCTTAGTGTGTTGTCGCAGTTGAAATCGAGTCTAAAGTGATGACATTGTAAATAATAAACTCTTTATGTTGTATAGCGCCCTCTCAAGACGGATATTACTATAGCTCTAAAACAATGTTTCTTGACTACGATCGACCGATTTGCTATTTCCGTTTGGAAATTATAAATCAGAACTGCATATTCTGAGATTTTCATGGTCGCAGCTATACCAAGGAATATCCTTAGGCGCTATTTGAAATATTTGAGATTTACCGGGAGCACCGGTAAATTTTTGATTATTTAATTTCTCGAAAGCAGATGTGTTTTAGGGGCTAAATTTTCTAGTGCTTATAATACATCCACAGGGGCATCCAAATATATCAACATTTAAAAGAATTATTAAAATCCAATTTTCAAAATTTCCCAAAACTTTGTATTACCTTTAAGATCAAATTCATTGATTTAGAGTAAAATTATGTTTTCCAGGAATCGGTGTTGCCCAAGATCACATTGATGTTTCATCAAAAGAATTGCATGCTTCTATACCCAGATGGCAAAGCAAAACCTCTAAAAAATATGATATTGTTCTGTCAACAAGACTTTGATCGGAGAAAAGATGTTGAAACTACGGGGAATAACACATGGTTTCTTGAAATGTGCATTTCAGTAATATCCTGTGATATCTCGTTATTATATATTTATCTGTCATTATATATCGCATCTTCAATTTAATGTATCCGTTTTTTCCCGAAATAAAATCTTTTGACCACATAGCTCAAGGTTAGCTTACAGTCGTACCAAAAACTTGATTTTTTTTTTGTTCGGGGGGGGGGGGGTTAAAATTCTTGTAATGTTACCTTCCAGTTCCAGATGTGTAGCTCTTTGTGGGACGGAAGAATAGTGAACTGGAAACATATAAGTGTATAATTGCAATTAGTACAGAGTGATGTAATGTGAGTAATTGTTGAATTTTGAAACAATGTTTACGCATTAAAAAATGGACAACTGCACCTTTGAGTTTTTTACGTTGCTAGTATTAAATGAAAAAGGTAATCAACTTTACCATTTTTCCCGATTACGTTATAAAACGACACACTTTAAAGTTATCCACATGCTTTTAGACTAAGATAATCGGAACATTTTAAGCTTATTTGAATCATGAGAGTAGCAGTAAATCACTTGTAAAAGTAAGTGGTATTGCATTTAAAATTACATGAATGTAATCAACTATCAGTATCTAAGTTTAGAATTTATAAAGCAAAAGAGAAAATAAAAATGACTTACGGTGTTTCTTTCTCCAAATTAAATAGGCAACGGAAGAGATGAGTATCAACACAGCAAACACTGAACAAATTAAACGAGAACTAGGAATGAGGGTAAGGAACAAATAACTATTTTAAACACTAAACTATTTTGGATTGCGCAAGGGATGGATATTCACCCCATCCCCGACAAATTTATACGAGAAAAATGATACTTGTATCTCAGTTAAGTGCATGAGGTAATAATTGCGAGACAAATTATATTTCAAAAACTTGATAAATTTTGCACTTTTCTCAACCACTCGTCAAATCGCAAATCTATTTTATAAAAAAACAGAAGGTTGGAATTCTGTAGCTGTGTTTTGCCATTTCGTATGAATTTGCAAATACAATATTGAAATCAAAATCATATGGATAGTTGACTTCTTGTTTCTGACCGCAAATACCTTAAAAGTGCATGGTTATTGCTCTATTTTTTTTATTCATGCCATTTCTAGTGCTCTTATAGGAACTAAAATTGCTATAAAGGTGATTTTAGACCCCAAAATGTGTGAAATAGCCAGTACGGTCCTACTAATTCAGCTTCACCTTTTAAAAAATACGGTGACTGTTTATCAATCAATTAATTAATAATAACAAAACACGGGGCGGCTGGTTGAGCGTATTACACTGTTGCTCATGAAGTTGGAATTTTTTTTTTACCCCAATTTAAGGAATTATTTTGACAATGATGTGTTCTTAATAGATCTAGATAATAGTATACATTCTCAGATTTTATGAATAATAATGTGCCAGTGTTTGTTTTGCGTGACTGCTAAAGCATGTATATGCTACCATGCTTATCAACTAGGGGACCTACTCCCGTCAGTCATAAATGACAGTAATGAGGATTAATGCCCCACGAAAGGGTACTAATATAGCACATCGACACGGTTTTGATCTTGGGTCCCCACGGTTACGAGGCCATTGCTTTGCCACTGAACCATGACTGTACGCAGCGGGGGCTAGGGTAGGGGGCAGTTCCCACAAATAAAATTGTTAAAAAACAGGAAAATGCAATAAATTATCAATAATTCATTGAATTTCCCCCCGGTCCTCAACAGAAAAAAAAAATCTGTGTGCCCATGCCTTGAGCCATAATGCATGGCCGTATAAGGCGTTATCTCGTCTTTTCAACGGCGGGTTCAAATTATCGAATATTTTTGGAGTACCACAAGAGATCGTTATATTTATTAATATTACAGCCGCCTCTGTAGCGCCCTCTATAACAAAACTCAACTAGGCCTATCCCTTTATTAATCCACAGGTAAAGTGATTCACGTCAATACCCCCCCCCCCCGCCTCATGTGCAAATCAGAGACGGAAGAAATGTTCATTTTGTAATATTTTTTGATGAGAATATGGACTGTGATTGGCGTGGGTATTATAACATTCCCCCCCCCCCCTCCCCCTCTGCCAAGGTCCAGATACGCCATTGCAACGAGTTCGCATTATTTAGAAGCGCTAAAAATATCACGATAATCATCTAGTCATTAGAAAGATCAGATGTATCTAATTACTATTGTTCGTTTACATTTCCATCAAGAAATGCATACTTATTCAAACCTCACTGTATGAACCTAGTGTAGGTAAATAAGAAAGACTTCAAAAGTAGGAATCTGCGTACACGAATATCGGCTTTATATTGAATTTGCCTATTGTGAATATCTTTAATCACATTATTGCGTAAATTGGTAAATTTGTTCATGTTTTTCTTCACAATAATTCTTAACCTATTATCTGAAAATACTTACAAATTACTATTATCACCAGAACAAAGGATTCAAATTTTTCTTCATCATGGAGTAGGACAGATGTGGATTTATTATCAGACGTTCCTGGAATGTTGAAAGCTACGCACGTATACAGTTCTTCGCTTTCACTAGTAGCAATCGTGAGTGTTTTGTTTTTTGTCCCGTCTGTGTTATTCGATTCTCTTATGTCTAATGGCTCTACCATTCTGGATCGATGCAGAAAAATTAGATTTAAAGCTGGATAGTACTTCATTGCTTCACATGTTAGAGTCATTCTGGATTTAGCGACGAGGGTGCAGTAGTTTGAGTCATATTGCTTGGTATTCAGACATTCCTGGATTGTCGGAAACGGTGTCACTGGCGGAGCTAAATTTCAAATACAAACAAGCAAACAACTGATTGTTAGAATGTTGATTTCTTTTTTTAATTCCTTCTGTCAAGACCTCAAATATATTAGATTGCCACTTCAACTTTACTAGTTTTGTTCTGGATTAATTTAATGCCTGTCTGTACTAGTTTGGCCAGGAGTGAGTAGACCTCCTTGCAA